CCCGAACAATACCTTCTCTAATTGGTACAACTATCGTATAATTATATCTTACGTATTTTTCTGAATTACAAGAATTTATGCTGGTAATATATCAAGAGGTTCCCGGTTGTAACGTTTGTATTAGGTGGAAGCTGCAGCGACTAAGGAATGAAATCAAACCTTATAGCGCGAGCGGCGTTGTACCTTTTTCGAGAACCATGTACAATACCTCTTTATCTTATTCAAGGCGGTAATATTTCAAGTAATTACGCGACACTCGTACACGTTATACGCAACTTAGCTTGATATAAATAGCGGGGTTTACGTGACAGACGTTGACTTTCTTCTACGGTTTGAAAATAAACGGCAGCGCGATCTCCCTCGAAGCCACCATCGGTGGTGGTTCTCCTCTGCGAAAGGTTGAATAAACGCCGCATATTTTTCCCCGTAATTCCGAAATACCTCCGCGCCGAGATGTTACTTCCGCGCGAACGACCGTATCGCGCATATTATAAACGTGTGTGCCGGAAATCACGGAGACGGGCACAGCCGCTATTAAAAATTCAGCCCCGTGCGTGCATACACAGCGGGCACGTGTACATAACACCGTTTTCTCTCCTATAAATTATGGAGAAGTTAAAAATGCGCCGTAATTCGTGCAGTGCGATAAGGTAAGATAGCTTAACACCGTGGCGTCTCCGCGTGTTACCAACAAGACACCCTTCGGATCCGTGACACTGTATTCATCTATTTTTCGTAGGAGTTCCAACGGAATATACGGGAGTATCCAGACCCGAGAATACGCGGGAAACGGGCGAGAAATCAAGAGAAACTGCGAGGCAACTTTCTGTGCCAGAAGCGTGACGGAACAAAGGCGAGATGAGTCGCGAAATGAAAAGACGGATTTGAGATGAGACTCGCCGATGCGTGCGATGAAAAAATATGCGTCACAGAGATTGATCACGCTCGCCTCGACGATACGCGACGTGGAACGTTTATGTTTCACACGGTCGTCATCTTTTTTTTCTCTTTGTCGATGATAAGGATAAAGCTGGAATCAAACGACGCACGGTTTCTTGAACGATAAGCGTGCATGCTACTATGCCTGTTCTGATGCACGTATTTTTACACAGAGAGGTTTTGCTGAAGTATTTAAAAATTTAATTAGATGCAGATTTAAAAATAATGTTGTTGGAAAATAATTTTGCTGAAATCGATTGCAAGAATGTTTAAAATTTTTTGCTCATCATGCTTAAAATTCCCATGTAATTAGTTTGCTGGTCCAACAAAATTATTTTCTGATCTGTAGCCAGCTAAATTTTTAGATGTGATTTTCAGCAAAATCGTTCTTTCCTAGTAGAGG